GCACGTGGTATGCCTGGTTAGGCGGCGAGATAACTCCTGAAAGCTGCAGCTTCAGCTCCTTCCAGGAGGGGAACGCCACTTTTACCGAATTACCGCACGAAAGTGCCGATTCTTGCGCTCAGACACCCGAGCTTGGATATAGCTAGTAACACGCGCTGTTGCTCGTTCTGGAGAAAGGTGAATACCATAGCCATATCGTCTTCTCTCACCCAAAGCAGGAAATTCACTCCGTCTTTATCCTCAAAGGTACCATGAGCGTCCTGGGTCGAGAGAAATTTCCTATTTCGTGTACTTCAATGGGAATCATTGCCTTCGAGCTGATCCTGCTAAGGTCAAGGCCATTGTAGACTGGCTACTTCCAAAGAGCCAACAGGACTCGCGCAAGTGGCTTGGCATCGCCGTCTACTTGCACAAGTATAGCGCAAATTATGCGAAAATGGCACGGCTGTTGTTTAATCTCCTTAAGAAGGATAAGGAATGGTGTTGGAAGACCAAGCATTGGAAGCTTTTGACAGGGTCAAAGGCAGCCGTATTCATGCACCAATACTGGCATTACCAGCCCCCTATCGTTCTTTTAGTGTCGTCTGTGACGTTTCGGACTTTGCCATCGGCCGTGCACTGCTGCAAGCAGACGAGATCGGGTGATCGCGTCCAAATCTCGCCAGCTTAAGGCTGCGGAGAAGAACTACCTAGCTCACGACAAAACATTACTTGCGATGAAGTATGCACCTGTCAAATTCAGGGTGCACCCGTTTGCCTCACAGCTGTTTGTTATCTACATAAATCATGCGTCATTACGAACTGCGACTCAGTCGCCTCACCTCTCGGGTAGGATGACCAGGTGGCTTTCAATCATTGCAGAATATAACTTTGAGATGAAGTATAAGCCAGGAAAGCAGAATGCTTTGGATGATGCTTTGTCTCGCAGACTAAACGATGAGCTTGCTAATGTCACGACGGTGACGTCGTCACTGACGGATTTGATCCACGTCGTATAAGTGGATGACACTATGTGTATAGCGCTGCTACAGGCTCTCGGGATTTTCGAAACTCGGAAAAGAAATTGTCAGCGCGCTGGCGTGCACATTTGCACCAATATTCGCTGAGTCACGGGTTGCTATATTATAGCACCGACTCAACGGGTACGCCACGAATTGTGGTTCCTCACGATGAGGATCTAAAATATTGTTTGCTCTATGAGGCCAACGACACCCCACTCAGTGGTCGTCTCGGTTGTGAGAAGACGTACAGCTCGGTGAGTTGCCACTATTGGTGACCCAAACTGTACAAATGGACGAGCACATATGTGCGCGCGTGTGAGACGTATCAGAGCGTGAAAACCCTCTACGAATGCGGCGGCGCCGCTGGCCAATTTACCGGCACAATCCGGGTTGGCAGTCCATGAGAATGGACTTTGTGTTTGGCCTGCCGAATGACGGGTGTGGTGGTCTTTGTGGGCCGTTTGAGCAAGTTGGCTCATCTAGCGGTAGTGCTGGACACCATTAACGGTGTGGGTACAACGATGCTGTTTATGGGTTGTGTCTCTAGATAGCATGTACTCTCGAAGTCAATTGTCTCTGACAGAGACACACGCTTCCTCGGGAAGTTTTGTTCGACAAATTTCGGGTTGGTGGGCACCAAGCTGACTATGTCTACAGCAGACCATCCGCAAACCGATGGTTAAACTAAGCGCGTGAATTGCGGCGTTAAATACATTTTTCGCAGCGTCTGCGCTGAGGCCCGACGCGCTGGAGCACCATGCTGCCACTCGTAGAGCTCGCTCTGAATAATGCAGTGCATTCATCTACCGGCTATACGCCGATCTACATGAAATGGCTTGTTAATTCCGCGTCCCGCTGACGACGCCATCCCATCGCTAAGGGATTGGAGGGGGAGAATAACCGAACAGCTTGCTGATGTCAGCCCCCTTACCGTACGTAAAGAAGTCGAAGACCTCCTTTGTACCAGACTGAGTATCTTACGACACGTTCGCGAAGACGATGGCTGAAAGCCGAAACATGCAGAAACAATATGCAGACGGAAGAGGAAGAAGAAATGTTGAGAACATTGAGGCCAAAGACCTAGTCATACTAAAAGCTAAAAACCTTCCCACACATGTCGTATTGCTGTTTTGGGACAAAGCTCCGTCCACGGTTTATTTGACCTTTTGAGGTCGTGACCAAGCGAGGCCTTGCGTATACGCTAAACCTCCCGAGAAGGATGCGCACCCACCCGATGTTTTCCGTGGGCTTGCATACCCCGTTTTGGGATCCGGATCATATGAACGCGGAAGCGTTGGCGTCGGGGCGTAAGGCGCTCCACCGTCGCACGAAGGGACGTTTTCGCCTGTTCGACGTTAGGCGCCGCAACGATAAAGCACGATAATACTCAACATGAGGCAGTTGGTGCACAAAGTGCACCAGGCTCTCAAGGGGTTCCACACAGCGGTTGACGAACTCGGAGATATGCTCGGCAAATTGCCGATGAGGACGGACTTTGCCCTCCAACTTTCAAAGAGCATCGCGAGTCACCGATCGGCGATCGCCCAAGTAGTCATTGTCCACCGCCGAGTCTTCTCGTTTAGAATGGTGGTGTCCACTACCACGTGCAATACCGTCTGGGTTGATAATGCGACGGGCGGGGGTTAACCCAACATCTTGTGAAGTGGCGAGGATACCCCGAGTCCGAGAACTTGTGGGAATTTGAGGTGCCACTTCCGCACGACTACCCAGACGTCGTGGACGAAAGGATCAGAAGAATCATGACGCTTCGCGTTGTCGTATACCCTGCGCTTCTCGGCGGTAGCCCGCGAAGCTTGAGGGCCATGAGCTGAGCTCAAGATATGGCCCTGAGCTGCTGTGGTCGTAGAATCATCCGTGTGAGAAACCACAGATCTCGCGGTGATGGATTATTCGATGTGTTGCAGAGCGACAATATTTAGGAAGTCGGCGTTGCGCCTTGAGTTTGGCAAACTCAAATCCAAGATGGCTCTCTACGGGCACCTTCACTTTCTCATGGCTTCACTGTTGGGAAGACAGTGAGGAAATTTCCGGTGCCGCTGTACCCATCACTCAAAGAGCTCTTCATCATCTGCAGCGCCACCCTCAGCAACCAAGTAGTACACACCGCGCCCACCCCGGGCGACGGATCTCCGCGTCGAGGAACTGGAGGAAGGCGACTACGAGTCGGATATCCTTTCCTAGCATGGGAAGGCGAAGAGGATTAGGTACGCTAACAGCGCGACGTAAGCCCAGCTCAGAACTTGCGGACACCGTGTCCGTTCCTCGGGCTTTCGGCTTAAGGAGAAGTAGTATTATTACCAATCGCCTCGACGAGGCACAGGAGCAGCAATCAAAGGTTGTCCACAGGACGGCTCTCATGCGCTCGTATTCACGTTTGGTGCTTGACCCTCGTGTGGAGTACGGCTTCAGCTTGGCGGATCCTGCTACTGAAGCGAAACACGCGATCTCTCGATCGTTAAGTGTCTCCGTAGTCGAGCCCTTGACCACTACACAAGCTTGATCAGCGGAAAGCTCCCCGAGTTCGCATTCTGGTCTCACAAGAAATCCCAATGTATCGTAGCGCGCTCGACTTCGAGCTCAGAAAGGAGGCGCTCCTGTACCCGCATTGCAGACTATTCCTGTGGTGCTCACCTCCGGAAATGCACCCTGTGCAGAGGAAGAAGGACTTTGCCTGGTACCAGCATGGGTGTGATGCGTGTCGTAGACACAGGGCTCACCGAGCGGAGAATGTTTAAAGTTGTTCTTAAGAACGTGACTGTAACGCGTGTGTGGAGTTGGTGGCAAATTCGAAAAATGATCGTGTTTCTGTTTATCTTTCTGCTGATTATTTACTTGTAAACTATCTACATATATATACTAGGCATTCTTATTGGACCATGTGTTCTTGATCTTCCAATCCGGTTATAGAGAAAATAGATGGAAGGGTTACGGCTTCTTCCATATTGAAATAATTTCTTCTGGAATCTCCTCGAGGCTTCTTCAAATTTAGATGATGGTCGCTAACTTTTAAAACGTTATTTTGGGTACGTTATACCATAAAAACATCACTCATTACAGTGATGGTGTCTCAGACACGCGAGTCTCGTATGAGGCGACGGTTAATTGTAAATTGTGGATATTCACAATTTAATAGGGGAGAGCGTAACTGGGGTTACATGTACCCTTGTATGAAAGGAGCCGGTCACACAAGGTGGTGTGACCGTAAATAAGTGTATATTACACAATTTAGCGTAGACACACAATGGTGTGGTTACACCATAATAAGAAGCCACTGGGCGTGGCATGATTGCCAGTAGGAATGCACATTAATTATATGAATTAGGTTTTACTATATTAATTAGAAGAAACCTTAGGTTTTACAACTAGACAATTAGATACAGTTTCAAATTTGAACAGAATAGTTCATTTACATGAGTTTAAGTTTTAGGATTTGGTGGTAGTCCGCTACACTCGTACTGGTTATTGAAAAGAAGTAAGGTCGGTGACCTTAGCTTAGATTTTCCTCTAAACAAATAGCTACGGCAGTCCCGCTGCACGCTACCAAGACGGGTTTGCTGTAACGGGCTTTCTGTGCCCTTTGCGCAGAGAAGGGTTGACTCGAAAGAGTCCGCTGAAAATAATGCACAGAAGTTTGGTCGCATCCTTCACCCATAGACGGAATCGGAAGACTTTGATGCATTTACTTTAGATGTTAGTTTTGCTTTTATCTATGTATTCTCGACTAATTCTTGAGTATATCACCATATCTCCTAATAAGCGATTCTTACATGACAGCACTGATTACAGACTCGGAAGAGACTCTATCTGCTATATGCTCTGTTCAATTTGGTGAACGGCTGGTGATGCAGTCCAATTTATTTCCTTGACGACCTCCGTATTGCACGATGCATTATATATGTTTTCGAGCGTATAACTGAACCGCAATTCTAGATGCATATCGGTTGGCGTTCAAGAGTAAATGTCGGCAAGCTTGTTGTAATGGCAAAAGGAATCGAGCGGCAAGAGGCGAAAAAAATGCACTCCTCGGGGAAAGAAAATACTAATTACAAAACAGCCGGTAATAAAATTATGCCAAACTCGGTAGCCTCCTTATGGAGTCGCGGATCAATGCTATCTGCAACAGTAGGAACAAAGCAGCATGGGTTGTTGCTGCTGCTATTCAACGCCATCTCGCTCTATATAGGGTTCGCATCGAAAGTAAACGTTCATTCACAAAATGCGTACAGCGATAATTCAGTACTTGACCTTTCGGCGGACTCAACATGCGAATTCGATGAAATTCAATTGGCATCCGATGGTACGATCGCACAATGGGGACTGGCGCACGGCTCACGTATCACTCCAAATGTGACTGTCAATGGCTCTGTGATGCCGAATGACTACAACTTTTACCATCTTTGTGTGGGGCGCCAAGAACACGAGCATCTTATATTGGTGGAGCTGCTGTGTGACACAGGCGATATGGCGAACGACGGTGACGCTAATTTGTACCTCTCCGGCGAGGTCAAGTACCCACGCATAGGGCACTCTACGTGGATTGCGCAGCGTCATGGCAACGAGAAGATTAAAATTTACACGTATCTTGATGGGTTCCCGCGGAACGACGAGCATGGTGGTCGCCGCTGGTTGTCGCTTCATATCAGTGTATTTGGAGCTGGTCAGGTAAGTACAAGTTATGCGTTAGCCATTACAGTATCAGATCTCCCCACTACACCTGACTTGTCGTCAAGACAAGCATTTTACACAAAGCAACGTATACTCGACCGAAAAGAGAGTTTACGCCATCGTTCGCCTGAATAATATTTTTATTATTCTACACGATACCACAATAATTATTTTAGTAGTGATGCTTCTTTGAACGAGTGGCGTTGAGAAACGAAGTTCTTTCTGTCTAAGGTATATCGTCTTTCTGTACCAGGTGCCAGACCGGGAATGCTTATCCTCCGAAGCCGTACAAAGTACGGCCTTGTCGCTTGAGAGCGTAAACGACGTCCATAGCAGTAACAGTTTTGCGACGTGCGTGTTCCGTGTAAGTGACTGAATCACGAATTACGTTTTCAAGAAACACCTTCAAAACACCTCTTGTTTCCTCGTAAATGAGCCCGGAAATTCGCTTTACACCACCACGACGAGCTAGACGACGAATAGCAGGCTTCGTTATACCCTGAATGTTGTCACGGAGCACCTTGCGGTGACGTTTGGCTCCACCCTTGCCGAGTCCTTTTCCGCCTTTTCCGCGACCAGACATGTTATAGAATACTGCTCTTAATCAAAATTTTGAAGAATGGTCATACCTGATAGTCCAAGTTTCTTAAAGTCAACAGACTTTAGCTTTAACGATGTCCTCGAATTCTATGCACTCATTGGTTGAATTCGCATTGTCGTTGATCCCGTTGCTGATTGGCGGAGCAAGGAAAACACTTGCTGACAAGGATGACATCAAAATTGTCCAGATGCACATAACATTCACAAATTTGCTTTTCTTTCCTCAGCACTTCACTTCTTGATATCAATGGCTCGTACTAAGCAAACGGCTCGGAAGTCCACCGGTGGCAAAGCTCCACGCAAACAACTCGCTACGAAGGCCGCCAGAAAGTCAGCGCCTGCTACCGGTGGTGTGAAGAAGCCGCATCGCTACCGCCCTGGAACGGTCGCCTTGCGTGAGATTCGTCGCTACCAGAAGTCAACGGAACTTTTGATTCGTAAACTTCCGTTTCAGCGACTGGTGCGTGAAATTGCTCAGGACTTCAAAACTGACCTTCGATTTCAAGGCTCGGCCGTCCTAGCTTTGCAGGAAGCAGCTGAGGCTTACCTTGTGGGCCTTTTCGAGGACACCAATCTTTGTGCGATACACGCAAAGCGTGTTACGATCATGCCCAAGGACATCCAGCTGGCCCGTCGCATTCGTGGAGAGCGTTCATAGTCGATTACTTCAATTATTGGTGCTTTCATCATGCAGCCGACCTTTCAATCATATTTTTCTTGGTGTTTCTTAACACCATTCTAGAAAAAGAAATTAAGAAAACTAGTTTGCGCTCACATAGAGTGGGTAGGAGAGGATGTCGACTTCACGACGATAGAATCATTGTAAAAGCACGCTTATCGCTCGAAAGACGAAAAGAACAACTGTTCCACCTCATCATGGTCGACAGCGTTACATTTAGTAAGATTACAAACTCATCACCTCCAATACAACTTGTGTTAAGGATGGGTGAAAGTCTTTAATATTGTAAGGAACAACATTGAGTCTGAGTCTGTCAACGCTTTAGTTTAAACCCAAGAACAATTTTTCGAAAAATTGTTGCATGATTCTTACCGATGTAACAAAAACCTATCTTGGATTTATCATTTGAGCTACTACAAATTTCCTACTTTTAATTTGTACTGTCCCTCTTGTATAAATTTGAATAAATCTACGTAAATTAAAATTACAAAATATCATGTATATTTCCTGCTATGATCTCAAATTTAACTTTTTCTCATCATCATGCAGTCGCATGCGAAGACAGCGGGTGTGGCGCAGCTGAATGACCGACTAAGTGCCTACACGAACATTATGTATAGTAAGCTGTGCGTTCCGTACGATACACTTCGCAGTCCAAAGAGAAACCACCGTGTCAATAAGTGGGACGCTCATAAATTAGATTCGGAAATTCTCAATTTGCTCAAGACGCCCTTGATTAGCATGCTAAATGTGCTAGAGCCTGGTAGCTCGGACCGCATCAAGCTGGAGCTTGGCGCAATCTTAAAATTTATGCTGATTATTTTCACTACGAGCATCAGAAGGGTAAATTGTGCTGGGGGAAGCACCTTTTGCAATAGTGCAAAACTCACTTCGTGACCTGAATGTAGCCGACACCAGGGATGAGATTGGAAAACGTCCGATACGTGCGAAGTGTTTTATCAAGTCGTCGTGTCATCGCTTTGATTCTGCTATCAGTGGCTCTGCCTTACGCGTGGGAGCGAGCCTTTAGATATCTACTATCTGCTCATCGGACTACCATAAGAAATGTTACATTTTGCGGTGCGCGATCACGCAACCTTATGTTGGCAGCGATGAAATATTTTGAGACGTTTGTAATGACATGCCAATTTGCTAACTTACTCGTCTTCTTGCGAAATGGGACGTATCGCTCGCTTCCGGAAAGACTTTTAGGGTTTGAAATGGTACGGTGCAGCAAAATCTCTATCACCGTAGTATGACTGACAAAATTCTCGAGTTGCCAGGAGACAATTAAGTCCTCGACCATTCCGCGGTCGATCAACATTGAGTGCATGACTCAGAAGCTAGTGTGGGATGAAATGATGGTTCGATGACGATGACGTAGCGAGTTTCAGTCCGAAGCGTACCTTTCCATATCTGACATAATTTTTTGTGCTGTTACTCAGGAGGTTGGCAACTTTGTGCTGCCTTTATTGACATCGAATGGCTGTTGTTTGAGCGCAGATTTGTGTAAAAGTTCATCTAATATCGATGTACAAGCATCAAAGTGCTGCCTGTGTGGCATTTCTCCACCACAAACACCCTACTTTACGTCATGCAAGCATATATATTGCTATTACTGCTTGCAAACTGCTGTAACTAAGGATAACGATTTCAAGTACGTTGTGGATGGTTAGCTGCTAGTGCATGCTGGTAATCAACTGGACACTGACACCATGTTTGACCATCGTTCTGTAGCTGTGTAGCGTGCGGGAATAGGTTCAATTCTTCGGAGCGATTGGCAAATTAGACAAAATCTGACGAATGCATCGTTTTACTTGTATTTAAATGTCGGATTAGATTCGTCGCGATGCTGCCTGCAGTGTCCATTCCTGTTCGTTTTCCAGTTCATACAGCAGCCACCCGCTTGATGCTCTGCTTTTTAGTAATGTAATACTGTAATTGCCATACTGCGATGCCTGTGTGATTGTCTGCTTCTCATCGCTGGTTCAGTCGTGTTTTCTCCTGCGATTTTCATGCACTCGCTATCACTTTCATCCGGAAGGTTCTGCTGCCCCGAACTATCTGTGTTGCTTCTTTGGATTTCATTGTTGTGCTTTAGCAAAACTGGGTTGTAATTGCCGGAGCTTGTTTTGCGATAATAGTGCTGTTGTGTCGTAGTCTTCGCTAGCTTTATCCACAAATTCCATGCTAGCTGAGCCTTCTCGCAGATGATGTGTTTTGCTGTTTCTTGTTTGACCGGGCATGCTGGTCTGGGCATTGGCGATTTCGAGGCCACCTCTCATGAAAAAATGCTCTGACTGCCAGTCGGTATATGGCCCAAGTTTGGTAATCCGTGAAGATTCCTTTGTTGTACCACATCTGCGTTGCTGTTTGGGCTAGAGCATTTTTAATTTCTCTTTGCAGCTTTGATTTTTTTCAGCGTTGCTGCTAAGTTGTGCTTGAGGTTGCTCTTTATGGTCATCTTTCTCAGCTCTGAACTGCTTCTTCCAGATGGTTTGCTTTCGTCGCCGTAAGTGTTTTCTACTGGAATTTGTTATTCTTGGACTGGCCTTGAACGCAATTCCCTCTCGATTCTTCCCACTTTTTTGCATCTGCTGTCTATTCATAGTCGCTTGCTACCGACGTTATCTTCCACGCCCATCCATTTGAAATTCTGGTGAGTGTCATGACTGCGTTCCCCGCTGGATCTCTTACTAGTTACTGCTTTTACTACACCATCTACTGCCCAAACCAACTATTTTTCGAGCTGTGGTCCCGTGAATAGTTTTATCACGGTTTTTGTTTCCCAGCTTTCATGGGGCAAATCAGTAATATCTGAGTACTTGCTTGTGATATCGAAGCTTGTAACTTTGCGCAAGTAGTGGTGGTTTGATCTTCTCCTGCGACTGTCAGTCCGGGGTTAAGCTTAACTTCGATGCTTCCGAGTTTTGCTGACTTAAAAGCTGGGATATCCAAATCTCGATTGGTTGTCCTTGCGAGTCTAGGATATTCGCATTGTCGTGCCAAGTTGAGCTCATCAGTGATTCCTTAATGTTCTTTTTGTTTACTTGCGTGAACGTGAATCTCATTTTCACCAATAGCCTGAGCTAATAGTCGGTCCTTGTTGTTAGAGTTGCTTTATTACTTCGTTTTGTTCTCGTTCGGAATAAGTTTTTCTGTGCCCATGCTTTACCAAACGCCTGTGCTGTGATTTGGGGTAATTCTTCCCATCTATAAGGCTCTTGGTGATCATTTCGAACCTGGTTGGTTAAAAAACAATTTATTGTTCTATCTACATGATGCCACGCTGGCTGCGTAAGCGTGGCGAGGTGCAGTCATCCATCTTTCCGCCAAATTTGTTCTGGTCACTCAAATCGCCGTGCTTAAATCCTGCAGTATCAGTCCTCCATATTGTTGTAGTGTGAAGAAGAGTACAGGTACGAATTTGTTTAGCCGACGCTATGTTTGCAATTCCATGCTACACAAACTTCTAATGTAAGTTCTCTAATTGCCGCAGATTCTGTTTGGGTGTTTCGCAGCATATAGTATCGACGGCAACGCAACACTACAGTGTAACGTCACTAGATGGTGTAATCGCAAAATGATGTGAATCACACAAAATGATGAGGGTGACACAATATGGTGTGACTACACAGTGGTGTGGCTACACTCAAATAAGTGGCTAGAACTAAACATTTAATAAGGTTTTTCTATATAGATAGGAAAACCTATAAGTTTATATATTGGCGGCTTTGCCGCAGATAAAACCCAGGAATACAGTAAACATTTTAAACGGAAGAGATTAATAACCTTGGTTTAGGTTGTGGTTATTCTTAGAATAAGCGTATTGCGATCCGCTACACTTGTTCTGGTTCTAAGTATAGAACGAAGGTCGCCGACCTTAACTCAGCTTCCTCTAAGCGAAAGAGCTACGACAGCCCCGCTGCACTTGGTAGCACTTGTAGTCTATCTACACCTTAGTTGCAGTAGGGCTACCGTAGCGCTGCGCTTAGAGGAAGCGTAAGTTAGGTCACCGACCTTTCGTTCTATACTTAGAACAAG